CCAATAAATTATTGTAAAATTAACTCTTTGTAATAATGTTTATTAATCAATAAAAGACAATTTCTATTATATCGTGTAAATCATAATTGTATGTATTGATATATGTCCTTAGGAGGGTAGAACCGTGATGAGAGTATCAAGTGTTTCAAATCTTGATAGTGAGAACCCTATGATCACATATGGTGGCCATTCTAGAAATGTCCATAGCCCCGGTATTATTCTGACCAGGGACATAGATAATACGGTAAAGCTATCATAGTGTTGAATAACCCTATTGAAAGACAGTGACTAATCTCACTTGTCCAGGTTGTTTGCCGACAACCTGGTGCAACACATAGGTGCTTACTGTAGGCAAGTTCATTAGACATACCTAATAAAGGATTCCACATCGAAGGTAACCTCAGTGTCTATGGAATAAATCCTCTAAAAAATGGTGGTGCTTGTGATCCTTAAACTTGAGATCACCAGAGCGCCTTGTGCACTATTTGTTAGAGTAGATGCCCTAGAGCCAATCAATTATTGTGGAATTGACTCTTTGTAATAATGTTCATTAATCAATAATAAAAGGCATTTTATTCTATATCGCGTAAATCATTATTATTGCAATATGTATTGATATATGTCCTTAGAATGGTAGAACCGTGACGAGGGTATCAAGTGTTTCAAATCTTGATAGTGAGAACCCTATGAGCACATATGGTGGCCATTCTAGAAACGTCCGTAGCCCCAGTATTATTCTGAAGTAAGGGCACAGATAATACGGTAAGGCTATCATAGTGTTGAACGACCCTGTCGAAAGGCAGTGACTGATCTCACTTGTCAAGGTTGTTTGGTGACAACCTGGTGCAACACATGGGTGCTTGTTGTAGGCGGATATACCGCAGCAAGTTCACTGGACTGACCCACCAGAGGATTCCATATGGATGGTAACCCCAGTGTCTATGGAACAAATCCTCTAACGAATGGTGGTGCATGTGATCCTTAGACTTGAGATCACCGGAGCGCCTTGTGCACCGATTGGTACAGTTTGACACTAGCCTAACGCAGTTCTATTCAGAGCTGTCAGTACGGTGGTGATTGGCTATATCAAGGAGTGTATCAAGACTATGGTGGATTGACAAAGGATTCATCACTCCCGGGTACGGGAGAAGTTATCTCACGGCGCAATTCAGTATATGGCAATGACACTAAAACTGTGGCCACAGTGGGATTGAGTTGTTGCTCTATCCAGATTATAATACGGGTCATTGGTCCAGAAACTGAATATATAATATCGAGAGTAACCGAAGGTTGACACTATTTCTATGCCTTCGTCTCGTCGAGATAACGTATGATGAAAGGATCGTATTGTACGGTAACCATATCGTTGACAGGTAGCTACTTTGCTGAATCCGAATCTATCGGGTGGCCATGATGCCTTGCTAGGGGCCAATCTTGGTCTGTGTATTAGTGAGACGATTAATTGGTGTTAATCGCGATACTATACACTACCGGTATGATGAGGAGCCTATGGGTCACACACATAGAAGATAATTTAAGAGCCAAGAAGAAAGAAGGGCGTTTTCGTCTTTTTAGGCGAAAGGGTATTTTGGTAATTTCACAGTGCAATTAAATTTGCTGAGGTCGTAGCCTTTTTTTAAATTTGTTAAAAATTAAATAAGTGAAATTACGGTTAAATGTGTGTTCGCACATATTTAATTAAATCATCATTATTGTTAAATGTTAATTAAATATTAATTGATTTTAATTAAGATAATGATGAATTAAATTAAAATATCAAATTGGGAGTGTTTGGCAACATGGGGTGTTTGGGTTGGAGCCCAAGCCCATTCCATGTGGGAATAGGGCAACTTGGTTTGCCTATAAAAAGAATAGTGTGTGATTCATTCTTTAATTTTAAAAAAAAAAACAGCAGCCCCTTATACACTCTCTCACGCCAATCTCACTGTTTGATTGAAAAATCAAATACTGATCTTCTTCTTGATTTCTTAAGGCCAAGGAGGATCTAGCAAATCCCTCCTTGGTTCTTGGTGGTTGTCTTCGTGTGGACTTCTTGGTTCGATCCTACACTTGGATCGGTAGCAAACACATTCAGAGACAACATTGGTGGAGCCTCCAAACGTGGGTATAAATCTAAACCTTTGGATTTATTTTTCTACAGATTCATATTATGCATAAACTGTAAAATCTATGCCCTGATTTTGGGTTCTAAGGAACGATCCGTAGTTGTAAAATTTTTGTTTTCCGCTGCGCAACCGGGTCGTTTCCTAACACTATTGGTGTAGTTTAACACTGGCCCAACGTAGTTCTATTCAGAGTTATCAATATAGTAGTGATTGGCTACATCAAGGAGTGTATCAAAACTATGGTGGATCAACAAAACATTCATCACTCCCAGGTACGGGAGAAGATATCTCACAGCACAATTCAATGAATGGCAATGACACTAAATCTATGGCCACCGTGGGATTGAGTTGTTGCTCAATCTAATTTATTATTCCAATCATTGGTCTAGTAACCGAATACAAAGATATCGAGGATATCTAAGGTTGACACTATTTCTGTACCTCAGCCTCGATAAGATAACATATGATGAAAGGATTTGATTACATAATAACCATATTATTGATAGGTTGCTATTTTGCTGAATCTGAATCTATCGAGTGGCTATGATGCCTTTTTAGGGGCCAATCTTGGTCTATGTGTAGTGAGATGATTAATCGGTGTCAATCGCGATACTACTCACTACCGATATGATAAGGAGTCTACGGGTCACACACTTAGAAGACAGTTTAAGGATGGTGAATTTTTGGAATGGTATATTCATCTTTTACATGAATGGGCATATTGGTAATTTTGCTGTGTAATTAAATTTACTAAGGTTGTAGCCTATATCCAATTTTATTATTGGAGTAATTTAGCAAAATTATAAATTTAATTATTAGAGTTAATATTAATATTTAAACTAAATAATTAAATTGGGTTAATATGTAATTCTACCTAAAGTTTGGGTTGTTGCTAAACTTGAGGGGTGGAAGGGATATTTGCCTCATTATATAAATGAAGCAAAATTAGGTTTATTCAACTAATTCCATTCTTGGCCGAGGAGAGTTTTTAAGAGAATTTTTTTTCTCTTCTTTTTCTCTACACTCAATCTTCCAAAGTTTAGATTCCTTAAAGCCAAGAATTAATTCTAGCAAAATTAATTCTTGGTCATTGGCATATTGTCTTCATGTGGACAATGTGAGTTCGATTCCATTCTTGAATTGATAGAGAATCACATTTAGAGACATTGACGAAACCTCCAATCGCAGGAATAATCGAATCCTTGTATGGATTTTTATTATTTCAATTTAAGCATGTAATACATATATCAGACACTAATCTTGGCGAAATGAGAGTAGTCGAAGGGCGAATTTTTTTTGTTTTTCTACTGCCATCATTCGTCAATTACTTACAAATTCACCCTTTGTAGAGGCCATATCACTTGTAGAAATGCCGCGCAAATTCACCTTCACCAACATGAAGCTTTACGATGGAACCATCGACCCGAATGACCACATAGCCTCCTACAAACAAACAATGTTCACCGCCGCCATTCCTCGAGATCTTTGTGAAGCATGCATGTGCAAGAGTTTTGGCTCAAGCCTCGTGGGACCAACACTTCAATGGTATACCAGTCTCCCTAATAACTTCGTCGCGTCCTAAACCCAACTCACAAATACCTTCGTGGAGTAATTCGCTAGCAACAAAAAGCTCGAAAAGTTGTGTGGCGACCTTTACCAAATCTATCAACCTCGCAATGAGTTGCTCCAAAAGTACGTGGGACACTTCAACCATGAGAAAGTTTCCATTCCTTACTATAACCAAGAGACTATGGTAGATGCCTTCAGCAAGGGATGCCTCGCAGATGGTGAACTGTACAAAGAACTCACCACATTCAACTGCAATACAATGGAAGATGTGTTGGACCGTGCGTGGATAGAAATATGGTGGGAAGAAGACGAGATCCACAAAGCCAAGCTAAACACCGCCACCAAACATCATCACTATCGAGTTGAAAGATGGCTTGACATGCAACTAGCCAAGCCATATCAAATAAGGAAAGGTCCAATGCGAGATAATAGACACATTCAAGAACATCACTCAACTCGGCACAATGAAAGAGCATCTGATAGTCCCATAGATGCAAGATGCCTGACTTCAACTTGAACATTGAATCAGTAAAGGTAGTCTCGATGATGAAAGAATAGGAAAGGTTTTCATTACGAAGTTGAAGCATGTTGGTGTTAGGAAACGATCCGGTTACGTAGCNTCGCGTCCTAAACCCAACTCACAAATACCTTCGTGGAGTAATTCGCTAGCAACAAAAAGCTCGAAAAGTTGTGTGGCGACCTTTATCAAATATGTCAACCTCACAATGAGTCGCTCCAAAAGTACATGGGACACTTAAACCAAAAGAAAGTTTCCATTCCTTAATAAAACCAAAAGACTAAGGTAGATGCCTTCAGAAAGGGATGCCTCACAGATGGGGAACTATACAAAGAACTCACCACGTTCAACTGCAATACAATGGAAGATGTGTTGGCCCGTGCATGGGTAGAAATATGGTGGGAAAAAGACAAGGTCCACAGAGCCAAGCTAAACACCGCCACCGAACATCATCACTATCGAGTTGAAAGACGGCTTGACATGCAACCAGCCAAGCCATATCAAATAAGGAAAGGTCCAATGTGAGATAATAGACACATTCAAGAGCATCACTCAACTCGGCACAATGAAAGAGCATCCGATAGTCCTATAGATACAAGATGCCTGACTACAACTTGAACATCGAATCAGTAAAGGTAGTCGTAGTGATGAAAGAAATAGGAAAGGTTTTCAGATGGCCTACGAAGTTGAAGCATGTTGGGACCAAGTGAGACACAACCAAGTGGTGTGAGTTCCATGGGGATCACGGACATGTCACCGCCAAATGCATAGCCTTCCGTCTTGAAGTTATGGAGTTACTAAAAAGGGGTCACCTTCGAGACTTCCTAACAGATAATGGTAAGAACATCGTGGCAAACAAGGAGCACCAAATAACACCTCCACCAAAAGCACCACCCACTGATAGGATGTGCAGTGTAATCTCAGGCACATCAGAAGTAAGCGGTGTAACCTACTCCGCGGCAAAGTGCCATGCAAAATCCATAGCCAATCAAGTATACCACTTGACACAACAATCCTTGCAAAAACCAACAAATCTCACCATAGAGTTCGTTGAAGACGAAGCAACATCTCTCCATAATCCCCACCATAATGCTCTCATTATCACCTTCCAAATAGCCAACATTATCGTCAAAAGAATCCTTGTGGATCCCAGCTCCTCAGCCAACATTTTGTTCCTGGAGGCATTCAAAGTCATAGGCTCGGACAAGTCCAGCATCAACTACCGCCCTACACTCCTCAGGTTCAGTTTAGAGCAAAAGTACACCTTTGGAGGGATAGCTCTGCTGGTCTATGCCGAGGGAATCAACCTTCAAACCACCTTCATAATAGTGGACGCCCCATCTCCATATAACATCATAATGGGCAGGCCATGCGTCCACGGTATGCCTTTCATCCCTTCCACTTTCTACCAGACCATCAGATTCCCTACCAAATGGGGAATAAAGGAAATCAGGGGTGACCAAAAGGCTTCTAGAGACTATTATCAGAATGACCTCAAAACAAAGAGGGGGACTATGTAGCAATTATAGTCCCACCCGATTGGAGGAGCCGAGCCAGACCAACCCACTATGGAGGAGATGGACAAGGTCCAAATACACCCCGATCATCTAGATTGCAAACTCAAGTTGTGATATATCTTTGAGCCGACATATAAGAGAAGCTGGTGGACTTTCATAAGCTGAACCATGACTGTTTTGCTTGTTTCATGAAGATATGACGGGACTCAGCCCCAATGCTATTGTACACCAATTGAATGTCGACTTGGACCACCCCTCTGTGAAACAGAAGAGAAGGAAGTTTGCTCCTAAAAGAAACAAGGTGATCAACAAAGAAGTAGACAAGTTGTTGAGCAACGACTCAGTTTGAGAGGTTCATTACCCCGACTTGTTAGCAAACATAGTGATCATGAAGAAGAAGATCAGGAAGTGGAGAGTCTGCATCGATTTCACCAACCTAAACAAGGCTTACTTGGTTAGAGAGGTTTAGTACCTCAACTTGTTAGCAAACGTAGTGGTTGTGAAGAAGAAGAACGGGAAGTGAAGAGTCTGCATCTATTTCACTAACCTAAACAAGGCCAGCTCGGTTCGAGAGGTTCAATAACCCGACTGGTTAGCAAACATAGTGGTCATGAAGAAAAAGAATGGGAAGTGGAGAGTCTGCATCAATTTCACTTACCTAAATAAGGCCTACCCCAAGGATTCCTTTCCTCTCCCACACATAGACATGTTAGTGGATGTCATCATCGGTCATGAACTATTGAGCTTCATGGATGCCTTCTCAAGCTATAACTAGATATTGATGCACTTGGACGATCAAGAGAAGACCGCCTTCATCATTGAGAGAGGGTGCTACTACAAAGTGATGATGTTCGGCCTAAAGAATGTCGATGCCACCTAGTAGCGCCTTGTGAACAAAATGTTTGCCACCATATTGGGAGACTCTATGGAACTATATATCGATGATATGTTGGTGAAGTCTCTGATCGTCGAGCAACATCTTAACCACCTCAAACAAGCCTTTGAGGTGTTGTAAAAATACAACATGATGTTGAACCTAGCCAAATGCTCCTTCGGCATCTCATCCGATAAGTTCCTTAGCTATATGGTAACATAGCGTAGCATCGAAGCCAATCCTGATCAAATCAGGGCGGTCTTAGGCATTTCATCCCCTACTTGCATCAAAGATGTCCAACGCCTCACCGAAAGGGTTGTCGCATTGAGTTGATTCATATCTAAATCGGTAGAGAAGTGTTACCTCTTCTTCGTCGCCCTCAGGAAATCAAAGAATTTCGAATGGACTCCAACATGTGAAGAAGCACTGGCCTACTTTAAAAAAGTACTTAACATCGCCTCCTCTACTCTCTAAACCGAAAACAAGAGAATAGCTCTTCACCTACTTAGCTGTGTCAAAATTTTCCATCTCCACTGTACTGATCCGAGAGGGAAAGGAAGAGGAAGAGGAAGAAGGAAAGCAACTGTCGGTCTACTGTACCAGTAAGTCTCTACTCAATACCGAGACACGGTACAACCAACTGGAAAAACTGGCGCTCGCCCTAATCACCGTCGCACGAAAGCTAAGGTCGTACTTCTAATGCCACCCGATCACGGTCCTAACTTCTTACCCCTTCCAGAAGATACTTCACAAGCCATATCTCTTGGGTTGGCTCATTCAATGGGCAGTAGAGCTAAGCGAGTTTGAAGTCTCTACCAACCCTGCACCACAATCAAGTCCCAAGTGCTAGTTGACTTCATTGTAGATTTCACACCCAGCACTTCTGTTCAGGCGAAGAGAGAGCTCCTATGTTTGGGAAACCACACACCATTCAAGTAGACCTTATTAGTAGATGGTTTAAGCAACATCAATGGCAACAGCTTAGGACTGGTCCTCACCTCCCTAGAAGGGGATACTTTGCAACAATCCATACGGTATGGTTTCAAAGCAACAAACAACGAGGCCGAGTATGAGGCATTAATCGCTGGCCTCTTCCTTGCCAAAGAAATGGGGATTAAGAAGTTGGAAGTCAAGTCCTATTCACAACTGGTGGTGAGTTAGCTATAGGGCTCTTACCAAGCACGAGACGCCAAGATGACCTTGTACCTCAACTTAGCCAGAGAGATCCAGTCATCTTTCGAGGAGATCACCGTTACTCAAGTTCCAAGGATTGAGAACACACACACAAATGCCTTAGCAAACCTCGGCTTGGCTTTGAAAACTTTGCTACCAACATGTATCCCATTGGCACCAGCCATTAAGGTTAGCTCAGCCGAGGTCTCGCCAATTGATTCAGATGAATCATGGATAAACCCATCCTTCATTACTTGGAAAATGATGAACTACCAACAGACAAGAATGAGGTTCGACGGTTGAAAGCCAAGGCGGCTCGATTCACCATCCATGAGGGCCGCCTACTCAGGAGATCTTTTTCAAGACCATATCTCAAGTGCATCACCCCTAAGGAAGCAAAGTATGTACTCGCAAAACTCCACGAAGGCGAGTGTGGCAACCACGCCAGGGGGCATAGCCTCACCAGCAAGGCACTAACAGTTGGTTACTATTGGCCTACAATATGCTTTGACTCGGCTAAATACTTTAAGAATCACGATAGCTACCAACATTTTTCCAAGGTATCACATCTCCTTCCAAAACGACTCAACTCTATCTTCACCCCTTGGCCATTCATGAAGTGAGGGATGGACATTGTAGGCAACCTCCTGATAGCATGGGGCCAAAGAATGTACATGCTCGTAGTTACTGATTACTTCACCAAGTGGATAGAAGCAAAAGCCTTTGCCCAAGTCAAGGACCGCGAGGTAAAGAACTTCGTATGGAAGAATATCATATGTCGGTTCGGCTTACCAAAGGACACAGTCATTGACAGCGGCTCCCAATTTATTAGCTTTGGCTTCCAAGACTTCTGTAGAATATAGGTGATTACACTAAGCTTCTCCACACCATGCTACCCCTAAGCAAACGGGCAAGTCAAATCATCCAATAAAAACATCCTCCAAACGATGATGAAAATACTCCAAAAAGCCAAAGGAGCATGGGCAGATGAACTCCTTGGGTGCTATGGTCCTACCGCACCATGGCTTGGTCCTCCACAGGGGAAACTCCTTTCTCTCTAGCTTAAGATTCAAAAGCAATGATTTCAGCAAAAGTGTCGATCCCCTCGGCTCAACTCCAATGGATAGATGAAGACACCAACAGGCAACAGCTCTACCATAACCTTGACACCGCCGATGAGCTAAGAGACCAAGCCCTCACCTGCAACACCGCTATTAGCAAAAGATGGCTTGACATTACAACAAGAACGTCTAAACCAAGGTCTTCAAAGTTGGTGATTGGGTCTTACACCAAGTGTTTCAAAACATGAAGGAGATAGGAGTCGGTAAGCTCGGTCCCACTTGGGAAGGACCCTACATGATCACCAAGGTTGTTAGGAAATAAGCCTATCAATTGCAAACACTAGAGGGAAAGAACATCACCAACAGTTAGAACACCACCTATATCTAAAAGCCTATCACTTCTGATGGCACTTGGCTCTACTCTACCGCCTATAGAACTTAATAATTTTTTATAATGGGGGACAGGGTGGACTTGTCCACTCCCCCAATTTGTTTCGTATAAAGTCCACTCCAGGATTATTTTATTATTCAATAAAATCAGGCATTATCCAGAAAGTTTAAGTGTTTCAAGTATTTGTTTATGAAATATGCCTCAAAGGCTGTAAGGGTCATACCCTTCGCAAGGTGGAAATGGGATACCTTGAATGATTTTCGGAATGTGTCTCCACAGATGGCTTTGCCTCATATTCAACTCCACCAATACGCGACAATAGTTCATGTCCTCGTCTAGAATTGCAAGTATGGCACGACTCTTCTCCTCAGCAAGTAGGCCCGGCAATGCTCGGTTGTAAGACAAGTCTACAAAATAAGGAGCAATGAGATTTAGTACACCAGCTAAAATTAAAAATTCTAAGATCACTCACCTGTTACCTGCCAGAAGAAGGGGATCTCTTAGGCTCTGTTCTCCCCAAAAACCAGCTATCCTCTCACACAGAAGTATGAGTCTTTCCACTTCTTATCATAAGTCTTAAGCCTCATTACTAAATGTTTGCGACTCTGTCGCAGCATAAAAAGGTACCGACCCCTCTCCTTGTCCTGCATCTTAATGTAATAAGTAAAGAGCAAATCCACCACTCCAAACCCTATCCTCAACCTCGTGCATAAATACTCCAAGGTCAGCCATAATCTCCATCCATTCAACATCAGCAAACTGGGGGCAATCATATAATGGTTCAGCACCTCCCGTGGCACACATTAGTGCCATGTCAGCCAACAAGGGGTTAACCCATATTTGTCCAAATAAGAAAAGTATTCCTTCTTTTGGTTTGGACCACAAAACAAATCGGGAAAAACAACTTTATTCCCTAAGACCACTTAAGGATAATATAACAGATGTAAAAGGTCCTAAAAAGTTAGAGACAAAGATAAACAAATATCTTTTCTACTTTATCAGACATGCAATTTGTGCTGAATTGTAAATGTTTGAAGCGAGTGTGTAAACACAAACTATTGTACACACACATTTAAAACGAAATAAGCCAAGGCACAAGTCTAGCACCCAATGTGCATACAGACTGTTGTACACACACAAAACAAAAGAAATAAGCCAAATCATAAGATTGATAATCAGTGTGCACACATAACTCATAAGTTTGACAAATATGAATATTCCACATCTATGGTATAAATATTATGTCTTAATCCCAGAATATATATATATATATATATATATACACGTTAATATTCAGATCATTCTAAAGATCATATGAATAATATATCACTAATGGCGAAGATCGGAGTCTCGAGTAACAACATGACGAAAGTCATGCTTTGATTTTCTAGTATGGATTAGATCTAGATGTGATTTATTAATGGGGATAATAAAGACCAAAATAAAATGTGCGTTAAATAATAGTAATAAATAAATGATGACATGCTAACGAGGTCTTGGTCTTGACAATTTCATAACTCGTAAATTAATAATGCGAAGGCCAGTTGAATATAGACACTTAAATTGCAACGAAAGGGGTACCTCATGTGCTCGTCTACAGTTTTTAATTTAAACTCTATTAATCTTAGTTGTCGATGCAGTTGTTCTTGCTCCTTCCAATGAATAATCCATAAAGATAAGACTCAAATTAAGACTCTTATTTATTAATTATAATGGATAATACATAAGATAAGACTTAAGACTCGTATTAATAATTATTATAATTTGTTTTTAGTCATGTTTGCATGCATACTAATGACTCATTGAACAACCGATTACCTAATTGAATGTTAGGTCTGGAAGGGAAGTTAAATAAAGAGGAGATCTAAATTAAATTATTTAAATGCTATCTGTTAAAGCTTTTAATATAAATTTTAAACATTCATTATATAATTAATTCACCGAATTTAACAAATCAAAGCGATTGTTTGCAGTTTTCTGGACATGGTAGGTGGGAGTGGTTGAAAATCGCCAATACTTAAACTAATAAACAAGACTGGGAGATCGTGAATTTGACAGTCCTTTCTGGCTGCTGAACTCAACTATGTCTTATTTCTTTGGCAAAAGATCCCGTTAATAATATGTTTTTCCCCATGCGTGGCACGTGGGAACATAGAGATACAATTTATATTATATATTAATTGTTGGATAATAAACAAAACTCACATCATATCACAAAATGACCATGTATATATATACATGCATTTACAATAAGAAATATAAATGTTCTCTAACGAATGAAGCAATTCTTTCAACTTCTTCTTGAACCATTATTTGATACCATTAAATGAAATATTTATTCTTTACCTCTACTAGAATTAGCCTTTTCATTTCATAGAAAATTTATTCTTTCTAATTTACACGTAAAATGTTCAAACCTTATTATAAATTTAGGTAAAATTTGTTTCCTTATTTAAATACTCAAATAAAACAATTTTGAATTTTATCCTTTTCTTTTCCAATTACCAAATTTATTATTAGATATCTAATAAAAAATTGAATTGTAAAATATTCGCTTTTTAATTCTAAAATTGTTTTGATCAGCCGGGCAGTAAGAAAGATAACATCCTAGAAAAGTATCTTCAATTGTTTATTATATATACCTTCATCTAGTTAATATTGTGAAGTTAATCGTGATATTAGTTAGCAGAAATGCTCACAAAAATAATGTTATTATACTGTAAATTAAATAGCAGAATAGATGAAATTATTGAAACATATTTTCTCTCATTTCTTAACGAAAAATAAGAACGCATCCGTCGAAATTAAAATGGATTACATTACATGCATGCAAGCCACAGCAGCTGCAGGCAGCTTCAATTTGCATAATTATTCCAAATCAAACACGATAATCTTAAGTGAAAGCAAGGTAGTTAAGTCGGCTAATTAATCTTAATCAGAGGCGAAATCAATCTTGATACTACCAATGCTAACACCCGTTCCATATCTTGGCACCAAAGTCACCACCACAGTTTCATCATCATCGGCGTCCAAATCTTCCAACAAATCTGTAAGTCCCAATCTCAAACGAGTTTTCATCTTCTCGTGGTGCTTATGCTTGTGCGGTAAACTCACAAAGGTCCCTGCAAACTCAGTCGTGTCCGGCCCAGTCGGCACCTCATCTTCATCATTAATAAACACATCAAATTTCACTGCCATATTCTTCTCAAACTCAATGATGTCTATCACCAATACTTCCTCTTCATCTTCCTTCTGCTTCTTGCTCCTTGATTTCTTTGGCCTTTGAACCACCATGCTTATAGTTTTATCCAAAACTATAGGGAATTGGGTTGGGGTGACAAAGTTTGTCTTCAACGCAGCTGCATGTGCTACACCAATAGCCTTTTCCAATTTCTTGATTATTTTTTTAGGTTGTGGCTTAGTTTTTAGCCATGGATTGTCAACCTTTTGATAAACATATCCCAATTTTTTAGTATCAAGACAATCACGAACCTTGACTTTAACTGGTTTGGCGTTCTCATCATAGAAAATGAAACTGGCGTCAAGCCAATCTGAGTCTGTAAAATCTCTGCGCTTCCCTCCTAATATCTTCCAAACAGTCCACAATCGGTCAACGTTTGAGTGATGAGCGTAAAAGATAGGGTCTTTTCCTGCTGAGTAGAAATTCCCCATGTTCTCAGTATTTGGCTGTGAGCGATCACCAGTCCAAAAATGAACCAATCCATGTGCATTGTTCTCCAACGAACCAGCTCCTGGATCAGAATTGTCACCGGCGTGGTATGCACTTCCCATGAAAAGCTGAGGAGTCTTAGCATTAGACACCATTTGTCTGTACATCACCTTATAATTACTAGAAATTTGATCTGCATTTGACAAGTTTTCATCGGTACCATTAAAATCAAGATCGACCAGATTGGGTGGCTGGTGCTTTGCATCGCGTAGTGTATCGTAAAGTGGTGAACTAGTGTTTGCAAACATGGCAGGAATTGGCATGCCCTTAGCGGAATCCCAGTTCCAGAATGGCAAAGCAAAAGTTGGATCATCGATCAATTTTCCCAAAATCCTCTCAAAGAAATAAAGATAATATCTATGAAACGGGAAGAACAACCACGAGTTGTGAACTTGAAGTTCAAGATCTGGAAAGCCCACTTGGTGGTAAGCCCCATCGCAATAAGCGCAATGAACACTGGCTTGTTGCGTGAAGCTACGTGGGTCAGTGTCAGGAAGAGCTTTCATGAGCTTAATAGCCTTTTCGTATTTGGCTATGTATGCATCATCAGCTAAATGTGCGGCAGGCCTAACTCTGAAAGTATTGTATTTGGGGAACTTATAGTCTAGGATAGTTGCAGCGGTTGGTGGGCAACAATTTGTGGGTTTTGCACCTTCAGGTAAGTCAGCTTTCCCACATTTGGATAAATCTGGGGCTTCAATTGGAGCAGCCAGGGCAAAGGGATCAGAAGCGAGATTGGCCACACCATAGAGACCTCCAAGACTAACGAGGAGATCCCTTCTATCAAATTTGGCCTTGGAGGAAGTGTCTCCTTCACCATTTGTGGCTTCGCATGATATGGATGATTTTCTAATGGAATAGGGTCTACGCTTGCGAACAATAGAGAGTTGAGATGTCTTTTGAGAACAAGGAGAGAGAGAGGAAGTGAGTGTGATTGGAACGGTGGATGATAGAGAGAAAGGGGACGCCATGACCATGAAACTATGGCTGTTGTGATTAACGTGCTAGGGTATTCACTGTTTTATAATGAATTAGCGAAAAAATTTATTTTTTTATAAAATTACATAACTTACCATTTTATCTCTTTTTCTTTTTTCTTTTTTATATCTTCCTTCTAATTAATAAAACACATAAAGTTAATGTTAAGTTTAGTTAGTGTCATTTATAAGATATTAATTATTTAAGGTAGATTAAATTTAAACTACTAAAAATGCTTTGACAAAATAATTTAAAATCTTCAATAATGAGTCTCTTGAATATTCTAGATAAAACTTATAAATTTTTAAAAAGTTTCTGTCATTAGACATATTGTAATAATAGATACCTTAAAACTTGTAATATATAAAACAAAATGTTAACGAATAATTATAAAACTTACGATATGAAAATATAAAAAATTCATAGTTGAACAAAAAATTTGTTATGCCCCTAACTAACTCATTAAATTTCTTTTTCATAAAATATATACATTAAAAACAATCATATGTACTTAAGCAAACATTAAATTGTTAAGTTTTATCCTTCATATGATGTGACAATTGGCTTGCAAAACCAAACTTATATATTATAAAAGTAAAGATAGATTGATAAATACTTATGACTATTTTTTCTTATAAAAGTAATATGGTAACTTGTAATTGATTAATTCGTATTTGATTAGACGGGATCTATTATTAGTAGATAGGACTAATTACGAGTTGATACATCGTGTTTGTGAGAAAAAATTAATGAAAAGTGTTTATCAGCATAACTCATATTATAAATGATTTAGTAATGCATTTTGTAAACAAAAATAAACAAGAATCGTTATAGACAAATCCCGCATCAAGTGGACAATATCTTAATTATGTAAATAAATAAACCATGTGATGGCCAACTTGTTGAATGTTGATCCATAATGTTCTTGTACACAATTGCTCAGATTACTCGCCAGCTTCGAGAATTAAGACCTCATTATTTTATAAGTTTCTATGAGTTACACAAACCTTCAGTCTTTCATCTAAATATATTATATTATATACAATGTGGAATTATTAATTACTAAATTACTAAATAACTAAGCAAGTGCAATTAAAGATTTGCAATCCAGATATATCATTAACTTTCTGTTTCCATTAGATGATAACCATAATAACATTCATGACCAGGTTACGCTGTAACTGTTTTTTTTTTTTTTTTGGCGGTACAAAATTTGATTTTAAGACACACATGGATTTTTCAATCTTATTGATTGCATCCTGAAAAATTAATCTGAATTTTTTTTCTCCAGTTTCCCCTTAATTCTCTCCAAGAATCAACAGTCTCATCAGATTGCTATTAGTTTTCTCTGCGAAGCAATTTGTGAATAAGCAAACTGTTTAAAATTAAATAAATTAAACTGAGTAAACAACCTTTTCCCAACCAAGGTTTGCCTTAATGACACTTTCTTACTCTAAGTTTATATTTCATCAATACCCAAAATACATTTCTCTTTCTCAGTCGACCTTCGGTGAGTTACAAGGAGTTAAGGTAAGAGGGTTTTTATAGAGTGATGGATCGAAATGATAGTGACCGATTGAATATTTGCTGTTTAAATCATTCAAAAATCAGCTAAGAATAGGAAACCCTAGCTTTGTAGTGAACGACAGTCAACAAGAAATTAGGTGACTAAGTGAGAGAGATTTTGTAGAGAGGAGTTCAGAGATTCAAATAGTAATGACGGAGAGAATTTTTGTTATCGGAATTGACCGGAATCGACTTTAGATAGTAGTAGAATATTAACTTTTGATGAGAAAGTGGTAATTTAAAACTTTTTGGGTGGAAAAGTGTCGTTAAGGCAAACCTTAGGTGAGAAAAAGTAGTCTACTCTTATCAATCCGTTTATGGATAAGTAGGGAACAATGATTTGTCTCACAGTGACATTAATATCAAGTTCAATATAAATTTATCCATCCTATAATTTATTTAAGAAATATTACATGTGATACGTACTATTTTTAAACTATTTAATAGATGAATGGCTTCTGGTTCTGGGAATTAATTATGGTGCCAATTTTATGGACTTTCACTAATCTTCATATGTCGTCCAATCCCAATATAATACGATTTCGTTATGGTAATTAATTAATTAAAATGGGATGATACAGATAACATGATTGAGATAATGCTAAAACAATTTTCACATGGATCGATGATACAATATGATATAATTCATTGGAAAACAATTTTCACATCAATCGATTAGTATAACGAAAGATTCGAGAAGCAAGTTGGTGATAATAAAACTATACATGCATGCATGATTCATTATAAAATTAGAATCTCGAGTATATTTTATACACAAGTTAGTTTCTAATATAAGGTGTTTTTAACATTTTGCAATAAAAGCATTTCAATGGGGAAAAGTTAAAAGAAAATTGTGAATATATATAAGACAATCCAAAAGTTCTCTAACTTCTTTATTTAATTAAATTCTAATCAATTTATAAATTTTAGGTAAATGATCTTTTGTTTCAGTAACCTCCTTTATAAATCGTTTTTTCTTTCTGTCTTTCTTTTTTAAATAATTCATTAAGCTTCAAGTTTTACTTTCGAAGTACCAATATTTCAACTCAATCAGATTTGCACAAGGCGTCGGATAACGAAGTTTAATGCAGTCAGCAACTCCACATGCGTAGCTCACGGTTGGTGCAATTTGTGGATCATCAAGCCTGATCATTAATATATAAAATTAAAGCTTCATTCAAACTTTGTTTGATTGGCTTTTACTTTTTCCTACAGATACCATATTTCAACTCAATCACATTGAAGTATCACTTTTACTACGCATTCCCAAAGTTATCACAAAATTTTAGTACTAAATTATGTGTAACCTTATCGCTGTTGAGATGTAAATAAAGTAGTAATTTAGTGAGATATGTGTAGACAGTAAAATCTACAATCGATTCAAAAGGGATGGATCCTATGATAGTAGAGCCACTAACAACTTGATGAACCTGCACAAAGAAGAAAAGAGAACGTGAAGGCCAGATAAACATCGATGTGGTGTTTGTTGTAGACACTCCAACGCTCAAGTTAGCAAGGCTGAGGGTATTTAGTGAGGGCTAAGGATAAGAAAAATTACCAAAATAATGCAGTGGTTCTCGAGAGCAAGAACTTTGAGAGCTAGGTGCTATGGATTATTTCTGAATCAATGTTAAGAGGGTTTGCCTCTATTTATATAGTGAACCCAAGGGGTTGGAGTCCTAGTAGGACTCTAAGTCCTACTTATTAGAGGAGTTCCAATTATGAAGAAATAATGATCTCTTGCCTTTATCATATTGAGTAAGATTTGGGATCTTGACAGAAGTGGAAACATAATAGGACTTTGATTCCTATTATGGACTGATGGGTTAGAACCCAATTTAGCTTTACTTGTAGGATAGCCCAGTTCGTAGAGTGGGCATTTTATAAGGTGGATTCAAGCGCGTGCCCAATCGGGATTGGGTCAAGGCAATGGGCTATGGTATATTTACCTTGTTGGACCTCGTCAGACTTAACATGATTTTTGGCCCATACAGTTTGTCTCCTACTTTCTAAGTTAAGGGGTACTTAGCTTTGGAGAGTAGTTTTGTCACGCCCGCGGCCCCACACAGGAGTTTTGTCTCCTACTCTCCAAGTTAAGGCGCCTTTTTATGTAACGGCCCCACACAGGTGGCCGGCCATGATCACACAGCATGGCAGGATATCTCTCCCCCCCTTAAAGAGATTTCTTTCGCCTCCCTCACCACTCGAACCCAAGACCAAGGGGCTATAGTCAATTGGGAAGCATGGTGAGTACCATCAAGCCAACTATAGCCCCTTGGTATTGGGTTCGAGTGGTGAGGGAGGCGAAAGAAATCTCCTTAAGGGGGGGAGAGATATCCTGCCATGCTGTGTGATCATGGCCGGCCACCTGTGTGGGGCCGTTACAAGTTTCGATGGATTGTGAAAAAAACAAATTATGGCCCCTTAGGAGAAGGTCTCCTTTTATTCATGACAGCTGAGTTGAATAACGTCAAGGGGATCTTTGCTTAACAAAGATTGGTAGAGCTGAACGGCTATTTGGGAGTTTTTGCGAGGTGAATCTAAGTTAGGCCAAACCAACTTCGTTTGTGGATTGCAAAATTATGTCCAATAGGCCAAGCCGAATGGAAATCGACGCATCGTCATATAGAGTTTGTGGCATTCATTCGATTAGTCATCACAAGTGAAAGTGTGACTCTGCCTTTCGATAGAGCTGAGCATGGAACTACAGGATGTTCATCTTGGGAACGGAGGTAGCCAAGCGAACAAGTGGGCGAGTACTCTTGTGGTACCGTTAGGCCTGTCGTGTTGAGTGGGACTGATAATCTGAGGATTATATTGTTTTATTTAGACTTTTTAACTGGATTTTGGATACTTCTTAGTTCGTTTAAGCCTGAATTGCTACTTAATTTCACATATTTTCTATTTCAGGCCAAAACGTGTATTTTGAGCGAATAATGAGCGGATTGGAGTTTCTGGACCCAGAAGCAAGTGAATCTCAGAATTTGGGAAAGTTCTGAAGCAGAGTTGAAGCACTATGAAGCTTGTTCCCATGGGAAAGCATCGAAGATCGAAGATTCAAGCAAGGAAGCAAGCGGAGGGCAATTTTGTAAATTCAAATTTTTTCAAGAAGGTTCACCACGGTGAAGTTTATTCTTCGCCACGGCGAAAGAAGCTAGGCACGAGATTCCACTTTAGCTCATCGCCGCGGCGAAATTCTTTCTTCATCGCGGCAAAGTCTGCAAAATTTTGTTTTCTCCAAAGCGCACAGTTTCATTTTAAGAAAGGTTTTAAGTTTTGGGCGGACTATATAAGAGAAACCTTGCCATTTTGAGGGGGGTTCGTCTGGTTTCGTCTAAGTTCATCTTTCTTTTATAGTAGTTTTGACATTTTGGGAGAGAAGGAGAGAAGATTTGAGCTTTAATCTTGTGAATTCTTCAACTAGGGCAGATC